TGATGTTCACCCCATTGGGGATGTTCTATCTTTTGAGTAGGGAGATTATTCTCGTTCCTTGAGATGGGATGTGCACCCCCTTGGGGATGTTCTATTTTTTGAGTAGGGAGATTATCCTCGTTCCTTGAGATGGGATGTGCACCCCCTTGGGGATGTTCTATTTTTTGAGTAGGGAGATATCCTCGTTCCTTGAGATGGATGTGCACCCCCATGGGGATGTTCTATTATTGTTACGTTTTTTTTTTTTTAGTAGGGAGATATCCTCGTTCCTTGAGATGAGATGTGCACCCCCTTGGGGATGTTCTATTTTTTGAGTAGGGAGATATCCTCGTTCCTTGAGATGGATGTGCACCCCCATGGGGATGTTCTATTTTTTTTTTTTTTTTAGTAGGGAGATTATACTCGTCTCTTGAGATGTGATGTGAACCCACTTGGGGTTGAAAGGTAAGGACGATGCTCAACCTTGGGATGGGGATAACTGCCCACTGTAGGATGAGGCGCTCTAGGTGGATGCGCACGGTTATGCTATTGGTTCGCGCGTGTGCGTCAGACCATTTTTCTGTTTTTGAAGTAGGGACGTGAAACACTTGATGGGATGTGAAACCCCTTGGGGTTGAAAGGTAAGTGGATGTACCACCCTTGAGACGAGATGCCCAACTTTAGGATGGGATAGCCCCCATTTAGGATGAGGCGATCACAAACCACTGGGGTGAGATGCCCAACCTTGGCGATATATGGTGCCACTGATTCAGTGGCAATACGAGTTGAATCTTCCGTGATCATACGCTGAAGGTCTTCTTCGGTTATCTGAACCGTTCGAGAAATAAGTAGAAATTGATCATGTTGAGGACCCAGTGGGGCCTCACGAGGAGGAGCGTTGGCTCCTGCTATGACAAATGAAATGTTTTGGGGGCGATGTGAACCCCCAGGGAGTCGATCACCCTTGGCGAACGAAATATTTTGGGGGCAGATGTAAGCCCCCAGGGAGTCGATAACCCTTGGCGAACGAAATATTTTGGGGGCAGATGTAGGCCCCCAGGGAGTCGATAACCCTTGGCGAACGAAATATTTTTGGGGCGATGTAAGCCCCAGGGAGTCGATAACCTTTGGCGAGCGAAATATTTTGGGGGCAGATGTAATCCCCCAGGGAGTCGATAACCCTTGGCGAAAGAAATATTTTGGGGGCGATGTAAGCCCCCATGGAGTCGATGGCGGTGGTGCCATAGGTGGCTCCACATGTGGAGCAAGTGCTGGTATCGCGTTGGGAGCATCTGCTCCCATCGTGGCGATATATTGGGTCACGGCCTCTGTGACAGCGCGAGTTGAAGCTTCTGCTATCATGCGTTGAAGCGCATCCTCGGTTATTTGAACCATTCGAGGAGCAGGGAGTGGTGGATCGGCGAGTGGTGGGTCCCGAGGGGGGATCACCTGAACCTCGCGAGGCGGATCCATGGGATGTGGAGGAGGTGGCAAGCCAGAGCCTCCACGAGGTGGGAGGTCGTTAGCTGTGTCATTTTCTCTCAGAGCAGACGCCTCAGGAGGATCTTGTTGGCTACGTGATCTGGTTTGCATCGTTCCCACAGACGGCGCCAAAATGATGATGCTAAAATATAGCTCACCTAGGGTGGTGTAGAAAATGAACTGGGAGAGCAAAGCAGATCAGTAGCTTGACAACTTGATGATCCTGAGGTACCTGCGATCATAGAACACATGAACTAAGCCGGGGGTTGATCCGGCGGAAACCCCTCCGACGCTCAAGTCAGACGTGCTGATCATAGAAATAGTCCAGAGAATACGCGTTTTTGTATTGCTCAGTTAATAGGACGTACCTTAAAAAAATGAGTAAAACCTCTATTTATATGTCGTTTATTGGGTTGGGTTTGCTTTGTTGGGCCCAAGCCTTACTTGAAGGTGTTTGGGCCTCGGTGATATTAGTCTTCGATATTGGGCTCGTAGCCCAGTAGGTAAAGAAATTGTAGGCCCATTGGGTTGGCCCAATTAGGCATATCATGTACTAACTAATTATTCGTATTTGATTAATCCTTTTAATTACTCTTAATTATAGATCCCGAACGTATTAGGGTTCAGCTTCGGCGTGCTTCAAATGGTGCTTTATGGATTGTACAAACACGCAAACAAAATCGAAAAGCAAGAGCAAATCATGGTTGGTAAAGAGCAGCAGAAAAGCCCCGAAATAACCGAAACAATTATCAAAATTGTCAAACGTAAGGCACTTTTAAGCAGTCCGGAGAAAATTCCGTCGAGTAAAAACGGAGTCGAAGCATCTCTACATCAAAATTTGCCAAAGGAAATTGAAGTTTGATCATGGCTAATATAATTTGCATGGCATCCATTTTGCATGTAACCTAGCTAATATTAGGTATTTGTATGCATGTGTTTTATTTTCTTGTTAATAGCCATTTTATTTTATTTAGTTTTCTTTGCTTGTAATTTGACCTATGGTCATGTATGTAACCTTTTTTTAATAATGGAAATGAAAAGTGGATGCCTTTTATTATAGATATCTCTTTACTATTTGGACAAATTATAGTCACTCGAGGTAACATAAAATTACAAAAAACTCCATCATATTTGGATAATTACAATCACTTCTCACTTATGTACTGTTGTACATGTCCACCTTTACGGTGTTAAATTTACCTATGAAAATAAGGGTTTTTTTTGTAAGAGAATTCGTATAAAGTTTTCTTTTTTTCTTTTCCATAATTTGACTTTACCTCGGGGTTGGCTGTAATTTGTCCTTATTGTTATGATGTTTATAACAAGTTAACAACATTTGTGCTGTAAATTAAAGATTATCTTATGGCTTGGAATTCTTGTATGGAAACCTGAAGTGCAAATTTAATTTCATACTTTATTTATATAGAGATGTTTTCTTTTCCAATTTAGGATATTCTAATTAATATATACAAACATTTACTTCTTTTTCTGATATTTTTTATGAATACACTTCATGTTTTTAGCTATTCTAGCATCTCTCACTAAAACTAATGCAGTAAAAAAAATATTCAAATATTTAGAAAAGGATGTCTTAATTTATGTTATTATATTTCGAGTTTACAAATATTTAATTCTTTCATGTTATTTTACATGAATACTCTGAAAAATAATTTTCTTTATATCGAATACTGCCTCCACCACTGGTTTAACGATAATGTTAACAATAATATAACCAAATCATGGTGATTACATCACCATAATCAACAAATAACCAAATTATTGGTGTTACATCACCATAATCAACAAGTAATCCTTGATCTCAACCATGTAAGGATGACAAAGATTCGGTTTTATCATAGTGTCCACTTTTGCTACGAAAAGACCAAAAGTGAGATGATTATAATTTATATTTATAAATTTGCTAGAGTGACATCAGCTAATAATTCGTGTCTCCAACGTGACCAAACTCCAAAGCTAGTTATTTATCGGGCTAACGGGTGAAAATCGAATGGATCGAACTGTAATCTACACTTACAAATTAACTTAAACCTACCCCTTACGATACCACAGTAGAACATTGTGTAAATAATAATTTTGTCCCGGTCCTACTCGGTGAAGACGAATTAAATTATCAGTTCGATAATCTACTATTTCACTAAATTTGATTTATAGATGTTTAGTTGTATATATCTTGTAGGATATCACGTAAGAATCCTCATATCTAATCTTAAAATAAATGTTTTTAATTGAAAAGAAAGGCCTCTAATTTCTCCTACGTAAACAACATTAAAAAGAAAAAAAAATAATAACAGAATCTGCTTCGCACAAAGGGCTCCAAACCTTGAAGATCAAGTGAATACTAGTTTTAATATTTTAATTTTTTTTAATAATCCAAGTTTTAATTTTTATTCTTCTATTTGACAATTTGTGATTAAAATTGAGTTTATATTTTTTAGTTTAATTATTATTGTCATTTAAGTTCACTTGTTTCATTGTGAAAATAGGTATGGATTAATTATAATTAAGGGTGAATTTGAGCTTGACTCCTAGGAATAAAGTTTTCCTACAAATCAACCCGCCCTATAACTTTCATTACAAATAAACCCACAAAAATATGAATTCTCAAAATAGCCCTACATATTCCCATCCCACCCCGCCCACCAGGTCTAGTCCGACCGACAGCCCGGTTTTTTTTTTTAACTTTTTTTTTTGCGGTGGTGGCCTGGGTCGCCGGAGCTACGGTTAGCTGATTCAACATTAGTTAACTTTAACATTAGTTGACATTTGTCATTGCATTTTTTTTCTTTTATCTTTTTTTTTTTCATTTAATTTCTTTCCGGTGATGGATCGGAGCTCTGATTAGCTGACTCAACATTAGTTAACTTTAACATTATATTAACTTAAACTTTAATATGTATAAATTATTTTATTTTTTTGTTCAAATATATGGAGGTCTAATATGCATAATAATTAGATCTAACATCGATGGAGATTATTATCATAATTTATATTTATTTATCTAACATTTGATTAAGGAATAAAAAAATCAATAGTTTAATCATTAATGACTAGAAAGAGGTGGATGTTCGTGATTGTGTTCAAAATTGTTAGTTATCAATACAAGTGTATATTGAGATCATACCCGTTGAAGCTAAGTTCATCGTGTGTACCATCGAACAAACCTAGATATGTTCGTCATTTAGTCGTACCATCCATACGATTATTTTTTCTCATTATCTAAATCTCTTAATTAACCTCTAATTTCTCTCCTAAAAGTAGCTGAAAAGCTATAATGAAATTGAATCAATGTATTGTTTTCCCTTATATATCAATAAACGAATGTCTTTATTCAATTAGGATGCACTTTAGATGTAATTGGCTGCGGTTATGTAAGGAGAGTCTTTTGGATGAAATACATAGGGTTTTGGGTTGGGGTGTAGGAGCCAAGCTGATTCGTGAGTTCGATGTGCCAACTCGACAAAAAAATGAATTTTTCTGACGTGTTCGAGTCCGAACCCATCCTTATTTATTGAAGTTTTTTTTTTTTTTTATTCTATAACTTATTTATTAAATAGTTTATCATAAAAAAAATATTTTAATGTTATGTAAAAAAAAAAAAAAAAAAATAAGAAACTGTGGTGACATATTTAGTACATTCATATTCTACAAAACGACTTTAATATATACTATGTATATTGTAAATTATGATTATATTCTAATATACATTATTGCTGAACGCCCTTTCATCAGGTTTGAAGGTTGACATTCCCTCTAAAATATATTCTGATCGAAACTTGAAAGAACATATTCCATGCAAAATCTGTCACAACTTTAGCCAAGTAACACAAAAACCAAAAATAAAAAATAAAAAATAAAAACTAAGTACACAATATATGGATAGAAAAGAAAATGAGAATCTCAAACAAATCCTGGCTGGCTATATATAAATAGAGATCAAATATACAATCAATCAAAGGAAAACCAAATATATATTAACATATATACATTATTTACATGCATGGTACATAGATTATGGCAAGATCGAAGAAGAAAGAAAGAAAGAGCCTTCGTTTACTAGCCAAGAATGACCTGCCCGTAATTATTCCGTTCTCCTAATTTTTGCGGAGTTTACCGAGCAGTCATTTTTGGCTTAGTTGACGGGCGCTTCTTTATCATGCTAGTCGTTGTTCTTTCCAATGCTCGTTGCTCAATTTTTTTACATTTAACTCGTGGCACAATCTGTTGTCTCTATTTCAAAATTGAAGGGATTCCCGAAAAAGATTATATTTTTGGTTTAAAATTTTTGTTTGCATAATGTATTTTAATTGGTTCACCCAGGGCCGTTTCTAGGAATTCGGGGCCCAAGGCGAACTATGTAGATCTTTGAAACGGGAGCTCCTAGCAAGAGCAACATTGTATTTTTTTGTTTTGTTTAAAGTAATATAACAGAGTAGGTTAAAAAACTTGGGGGTACAGGGGCACTGCCCCTGATTTTTTTAGAGGTGTTGAGTGTAAGTTTTACACTCAATTTATATTTTCTTATGAGGATTTTTGTGGAATTTTATTGATTGAATGATGTTTAATGACTTGATTATTGTATTTTACTTACTAATTGAAGAATCGAGAGTCTAGAAGATGGAACGGTAAAGAACGGGCAAGAAAGGAAGACAACCAACCGCAGACCAAAAATAGAACTAAGACGGCCGTAAGGAGATTTTAGCTAATTCTCCAACGGCCGTCCCGAAAGGAAAAATAATTTAATAGAAGGTTGAGACGGCCGTGTGAGAAAATGAACTGAATTTCGGACGGCCGGCCAAAGTTCTTCGATTGCGCATTATAAGAATTTTAATTGCACAAGGAAACTCCTATATATCCAATTACACCTATATAAGATCGCCTCAATTACGAAAATTTGGACTTCTTTTACCCAATCTTAGAACAAGAAGAACGGAATAACGGAGAATCGAATATAAAGACTTGACGAATCTTCATCATAGTTCTTCCTTTATTTCTCTTTTCTGGAGAGATGTACTTTTATATATATATATATATATATATATATATATATATATATATATATATATATATATATATATATATATATATATATATATATATAACACTATCAATAAATACTAATGTACGAGGACTAGTTTTCTAGTTTTCTAAAATCGGAGGCCCCTAAAATTCATAAAAAAATCGGGGGCCCGAGGCGATCGCCTTTTCCGTCTTCTCTCAGAACCGGTCCTTGGTTAACTTAATAGCAAATCAGATGAACATCCAGATTTACCCTCAAGGCATTCAACATTTTGTATACAAGAAGCTTAAATAGACAGTTAGACTAGATGAATAAATGCACTCAATAACACATATATAGACAACTTCAACGAGGAAATAATACATCACTCTTTTAGATTCGATATGAATATGATCAACCTAAAATTAATATTTGCCCAATCTCTGGAAATAACTCAAATAACTGCCTCGCACAAAATGGACGAAGAACGCGACGAGGGCACGCGGCAGCCATAGCAAGTGGAATCGCGCGCGCATAAAAAGCAACCCACAAGCGAACCAATATATATTTGCGGCAGCATGAGTAGAGGCGCCGACGACCGGAAATTAATTGGGTGGGTTGGTGGTGGGAAAGGTAGTTGGAATAGGTTTTCGATTTCTTGTTCGAAGTGATAACTGATAAGCCACTGCAAAAAATAGTCCAACAATTCAATAATGCCGACTAATTTCTGAAATATCAATATTGGATTTTGCACTGTAAGTGACTGATAATTGGAGTTTACGAATCAAGTCAATTCCGATTCGAAAAGTTCCGAATCGTGGAACATTTTTCTTTTGTTTCAAATTTTGAGATTTTCACATTCTTTTTCGGAACAAAATTTAAGGATTAGTTTCCACTTCCAATTTTCACTCCTAAGCCGAAAAATAAGGAAGTAACTAAAGCCCTAAGAAATCTACTTAATCTTTGTATTGGAGATATTAACATTAAATGATACATTTCACTAACGTAACACCTTAAACTTTTAGTTGATGTGGTCATTCAATATGCAGGTATCAGAGCTTTTAGTTCGAATCCCATCGACACCCACTGTAAATATTTCAAGTGCAAGACTTCAAATGTAAATCGCCTGCGCATCTTTGAAAGATCGAATGTATATGCAGCATATATATAACTCAAGTATTTTGAATACATATTAAAAAAAAAAAAAAAAGGAGTTACCAAATCCATGTAAGATAAGTACTAATAACACTTATTAAGTGGGAAATTATATTAAAAATCAACAATCACATGATAATTGGATCAACAAACAATGTAGCAATGTGGGGTGCCAAGATTTCGGGTTTTGTAAAGCCATCTTGGAGACTCCTGTAGTTGAGCTCCGCTACGCGAGCATAGTTTGAGAACCATCTCCACCATATCCTTTGGTATATTCCGATTAATAACCCCGACCCGTTTTACTACTTATTAAAAGTTTTTTGCAGACGGCAGGCAGCTCACAAAGCGGTGGCCATAGTCCACGGGAAGCGGTCTCTTCTACCGAGATACCGTGCTCTTTCATGTAAAAATCTACCCCTGTCAGCATTCGTCCCTCCTTGCGTTCGCGCTTCATATATAGCATGCAAAAATTATATAAACTAATTAAATGCAACCATCTGCGACGGAGCTCGGATTCAATATGAGGGTGGGCTAAAAATTTACGATACTGTTTAAGAGCAATAACCTTGATCTTTTTTATTTTATTTTTTGAGCTATTAGTAAAAAATACCACAAAATAAGTCAATATTTTTATATTTTAATTATAATTATATATTTTGAAATGTTTAAAATAAAACTATTGTAGCTCTTGAAATTACATAAAAAATGAGTTAGATTAACACAAGTTTGTTTAAAAGCACAAGTTGGTGGTTGCGAGTTAAGTTGAGATGAAATGCTTATAATTAAAAGTTGTAGGTATTTGCAAATTAGCTGCAAAATCAACCAAAATAGAAAAAACATGTACATAAAGTTCTTTTTTTTGGCAAACACGTAATTATGTGCAGAAAAAAAAAACTCATTATCTATTTCTAAAAACTTTTGCAAACATGATGGTGTCTGGAGAAGATATATATATATATATATATATATATATATATATATATATATATATATATATATATATATATATATATATATATATATATATATATATATATATATATATATGGTTTGCTTATTTTAAATAATTTATTTTAATTAATAAGCTGCAATGTCGCATTGATCGATCTCTACTACAATTTAAGGTGTTGTTTGCAAAATCTTACTAAAAAATAGAAGTTAGTAATCGTTACTTAAGATGATATCAAGTGTTTATTTCTAGAAGTCGTGTGGACGTTTGCAATTATACTGAAAAATCAACTTAAATTTAAAAAAAGAAAAAACAAAAAGAAAAGCATGTCTAGAGGTTACTTGATATTTCAAAACCATGTAAATAGTATTTGTGAA